GTCAGTGGTAATAATATAACGCTGCTGTACTTTGATGGCGGTTACCACTCTGGTTTTTAATTAAAAACTTACATGATTCTGACACCACAAATTTACAGTTGTGCATTGAGTGGACAGCAGCATGAAAGAGGACACAAAGCAGAACCTCCTCACATCCAACTGGAAAGATATTTCAAAGTGGCTGCCAGGAGCAAATTAGCTGTGTCGCCCCAGTGGCTCCTGATTAGTACAATAAGGAAACCCGCTACCATGCCTTCTGTCCCGCAGCATTCAACACTCATACCTGTTTGCAATATAATAACAGCCTCCAGGTTTGCAATCAATTGGACGACAATTTAGTGGCGAAAGTGCTGGCTGTAGTTTAGACAAGTGTAAAGACCGTGGTAAAATACAGTCGCAGTCAAATCCTTGTGTGTGTGTGTGTGTGTGTGTGTGTGTGTGTGTGTGTGTGTGTGTGTGTGTGTGTGTGTGTGTGTGTGTGTGTGTGTGTGTGTGTGTGTGTGTGTGTGGTAGCCCAGTGTAGGGTACACATTAGCGAGCAGTGTTTGAGTGTGTGTGAGGAAATTCTTGAAGGTTTAATGCACAGAAAAATACTGCGAGCACACACTGAAAACATTATTTTTATTTTTTATTTTTTGCATGAAAACTATCCTCATTGTAATTTTAATAATTAATTACGTTTTTTTTCTTGAAATTGTTTGGTTAAATGACAATGTAGGCTGTGAACATCAACAGAAGGAAAATCCCAGAATTCCTAGAAATGTCTTATTGAAAACAACAATGTTGCGTTCGTGTTTCCATGAGCGGAACAGTAAACAGCATCAAAGTGCGCATTTGGTTATGAAAGCAGAAAGGTATGCATGCCTAATGAAGGCTTTCTTACATTATTGAATAGCCCTTTTGTTCTTAATACTCATGATATACAAATGTAGGCCTAATGATACCATGTATTTATTTTATTTCAAATGTCATTAACCAGGAAACGGCCTCAGTGAGATTAAAAATCTCCTTTATTAGAGTGTCCTGACCAATACAGACAGCAGCGCATTAAACAAAGTTTCAGACATACAACATATAACAGTTACAGACAATAGGATTTCAGATCACAGCATGAGTACAAAAGGAGCAAATAACTCAGTCAAAGCATCTACAGCCGGATGTGTCTACCACTAACTGCTTCAATATGTTTTTGAAAACACCAGAAGTTATTTAGCTCCTGCAGAAACGCCATTACATATTCTGTAATTGTGTAAAGTGAGTTAATGTTCAGCTACCTTTTGCTACTTTCGCTTCTTTGTCATAATCCTGTATGTACTATACAGTTGCGTGGGATGGATACAGGCTCAGATCAGTGAACAATGGTAATGCCCTTTATAATACTGGCAGAGGTGTCAAATTCAAAATCTCATGTTACTTAAATCTCTGTCATCGAGATACACATTTTTCCATCATGTGGCATCACAATAGTCTGTCTATGGCGCTTCCAGGTCCGTAATAACACAATACTGACGGTCACATCTGTAACATCACAAAAGGCATTCCAGCTGACACTGTTCCCATTATCATTTCAGGTCTATGACATCATAACACACATTTTGCTGCCCTGCCAGGTCTATGAGATCATAATACCGGTTCTAAGGTATCACAATGTGATAATGCTTAAATGTGTGCATTATTTAGAGTCTCAGCGCTTCTTGCAAAGTTGTACACATATAATTTGTTTTTATGTGCAAGACGTTTTTTGAGTTGGAGGTAGCCTGCAGGCTAGGTGTGAATGTGTCATAAAGCTGTGTCTGTGTGTGTGTGTGTGTGTGTGTGTGTGTGTGTGTGTGTGTGTGTGTGTGTGTGTGTGTGTGTGTGTGTGTGTCTATGTCTGTAGTTTGAGTTTGTGAAGTTAGCTGTACGTTAGGTGTGGTTATTAATGTGTCCCTACATGAAGCAGAATGTGTGTGTAGATTAAAGAAAGATGGAGTGTGAATAAAATATCTGCAATTATCCTTAATTCTTGGGTGAAAAACGCAATTCTTCAAAATGTAACATTTTCAGGAAACTACATTTAACATTTAACTCACTGGCGTAAAACTCATAATATAAACCTATTATGAGGGTTCTATAGATGTTCTACACACGCAAGGTATTGCGTGTATCCTCAATTAAAATGAAAGTCACAAAACCTGAAGAGGCGAGTTTCTTTCAGCCAACATCAAGGATCTCTAGCTATGACTGGTCACATTTCCTGCATAAATGTGGGGAATGAATGACCACAAAGACTTTGGTTACTGGTTATTTAGAATATTTATTTCACTCAGATTGAGTCAAGCAATGATTCTGTCTCATTCTGAAACATCACTGTACATATGCAAACTCAGGCAAATATCCAAAAGACATGCATTGATAATATATCTTGCCCTTGCATTTGAAAATGAGTCTGAACTGAACACACAGACACACACAGACACAGACAGACAGACAGACAGACAGACAAACATACGGACAGACATACGGACAGACGGACGCGAGATGCGCGTGCACGTCTCGCTCAAACCAAGCTAGAGGACTCAAGCACACACGCATAGTTGTGGTTAACGATTTTAACGAATATTTTGAACATGGCTGAAGGTATGCCATCACAATCTGTGGTAGGAGTTTAGAAATGTTTGCTAGAGATCTGTTGGTGAGTTGCTAAACTAATAACACAACTAATTCATTTTCTGTTCAAGATAATCCAATTATTTAAAGAGCAAAATGCTGATGGCAGATAGCCGGGGCAGTCCTAAAACGTTAAACGCATTTGGTATCTTGCATTACTGTAGCCTCAGTGAATTTGTTGCTTTGAGAAATTATAGAAATAGCGCGTCTAGAAAATATGACATTTGCTGTATTGTGCCTTACGTACGAAAATAAACCCAGCAGTGTTAAGGTTGTGTGCAGTTAATTTAGTATTAAACCTCATGCGGTTGATTCTATACAGCATGTTGAGTTAGAACTATTGCGAGGGTCAGGAGCTTGTGGAGTGTCTGCAGTACTGTTTTAGTATTTGTGTTATTTTGTGTAACTGTGGCTTTGTTGGCCTGGATGAATGTCCTAAAGCGCCCTGACTGCAGCACAGAAAACACAAGGCGTATAACACAACACATGACACGAAAGGGGATTTTTTAACTGAACACAACCTAAGTAGTGAGAAAATAAATGTAGCCTATCATGTGGGGTAGAAACTAACGTCACTGTATTAATAAAAACAAATCTCGAAAACAGATTAACAAGTCACACTGGGCTATTCAATTCACAACAATATTATATATCTGTCCAGTACGAGATATCACAATAACGTTAGTGTTCCTATGTGTTTTTAAATGTAGTTATTTTAAATCACGTCTATTCGAAAACAGTTTGAGTTACTATTAGGAACACATCCTGCTCATTTATTCATATTCACTGTATCCATGTTTAATAGTAGCCTTTCTTTTAAATAGCCTATTATTGGATGGTTTCGGCTGCAGCGCACTACGTGTTTACGCTGTTTGCTACTGAGTTATAATTCAGGTGAAGAAAGTTTTCACTTGAACGTGGCAAATTTAAATTCTTATTATAATGTTAAAAACATCACAACACTTTTGAGGAAAGAAGAATTAAGACTATACAACCTTTTCATTTTTTTGGTTAAACAAAGTCTAAATACGCACACAACCCACATCCATTTGGACGAGGGAGCCTTAATTCACATACCAGCTCTTCTGGCCCACACCTAGTCTGAGAATTAAAACATTAACAAAAAGAAAAACGCCAGTAAGACTGTTCATTGCAGATTTATAACAAATTGAACCCAAATTTGAAGATGTGAAGCCACCAGAAACATCCTGAAAATAATATAGGAGTGTGTGTAATAATAGTTCAGGTAGTGAATTATATTTTATTAGGCTGTAAGATTTTTTTGTGTACAAAAAAAAAGAAGAGACATTAAGCTTGACGTTATTTTGTATTGCTTTTCTTTTTCACCACAATAATTAATTACAGGCCCACCATCCACTAGCGTACAAATTCCACCGTCTAGTTAATATTTTGTAGCGCATTAACAGAACCAGTTAAGGCTTTCATGAGTTTGTCCAATCTAGTTAAAGGTAACTAACTGGTCTAATAAGCTCTAATAGGTTCGCTTTTTAACGAGTTCTGGTGTTATTCTGTTAGAGTAGTAGTCATATGAAAAAATAAATAATCTGGGGGTCAAAATAAAAGACCAGGCCGAGATATGAGGTTTTCGTAATTAATGCATGAAATGTGTCATTATAAATCTACGAAAGGATGTCAGTAAAGCGCATTTTGAAATATATCAGTCTTAAATTTAGCAGGACAAATGCAAAAGCAGAATGTTTAATTCTTAGGCTACTTCACAACGTAAAGGGTTAAACCCCTAGTCTGCAGTTAGACGATTTCATTTTAAATTCAAAATTCATAAATAAATGAGCATTTCTGTTTGGGTTCCCTTTTACATAACACATCTGCATCCGTCTTACCTTGCTAAATCGGTGGCAACAACAGAGCAAAATCGATGAAAACAAACAAAAACAACTGACACAAAATGCACTCATGTGACAAATCCTCGATGGTTTCATCCCCACAGCACTCTCTCCAGGACGAAAAGGGAAAAATCACACGTTGATTAATTCAATTTTCTGTAAAGTTCTCAACTTAAATAGATCTTAAAATACTCGAAAGCCACGTAAGTGCCTTCAAAAAAAAAAAAAAATCCCTGCTGCAGAAGCCGTCCTTTGTTCCCCCTCTGCTGTGGGCCTGCTGTCCTGACCAGCGGATGGTCGCTAGGTGGCGCTCTTGCTCCACCAAAAAGCCTCCAGGTTTCCCAACTTGACCGAGCTGACGTCACGTCAGTCTGGAGCATCAAGGCCACTTCCACTCCGCGATTGGTCTGAAAATCACATGACATGTCTCCCAGCATCCATAATTGTGTTACTGATATTTTTGCACCCCCTCCAAAAGATGTCAGCATCATACTGTCCTTATTCTCCTGGAGAAATCCCGTAGTTCAGAGCAGTGGAACACACCAAGCGATTAACCGTGTTGCCAAATGCAAAAATGTCATGTCCGAATAACATAGCGCCCGGTAACTTCCTGATGGATTCCTTAATGGGAGGATCATCTTCCTTCAGGGGTGAGGGTTATTCCAGCAACCCCGGAATGTACATCCACACAGCTGCAGAGTACGGATATTCAGTGATGAGAAACATTGGGAAGGTTGGACCATCTTCACTCTCCAAAAGAGACGATGTTCCTCCGGGCGGTCTGCCGCTCACCGGCTTCCAGGATGCGCCCTACCTGTCAACACAGCTGGCCACATGGACCCCAGGCTCCAAAACCAGTGGGGACGAACAACCTGTTGCCCAGTGTTTACAACCCTGCTCGTTTCCAGCGGGCAACGTCAAAGAGGAGGCGTTTTGTTGCCTCTATCAGGATGACAGCAATAAGGGGAAACAGACAACAGAGTCGGCCACTTACATCCGGCTTGGGGACAATAGCTGCCGGCCTGAGCAAACCGCCGCTTCGTCCAGCGGCTGTTTCCAGGTGTACAACGGAGAGAGGCCCCAGCAGGACGAGCAGCAGCAGCAGCAGCAGTTCCCCTCCGGCTTCTCTCTGACCCACTTGGCGACATCTGTTGAGTCAGCATCAGAATCGACAATAAGTTGCAGCAAATCGGCGCAAGAGACAGCGAGAGAGGTTTCAAAGACAGAAGAGAGTCAGAGCAGGAAGGAAGAGAAGGCCAAGAGTGACAGCTGTTCAGATAACTCGGACGGGGAATTAAAAGGTAGATTACCACTATACCCACCCCTCCCTCCCCCTCCTCCTCCTCCTCCTCCTCCTCCTCCTCCTCCTCCTTCTCCTCCACTACCACCACCTCCCTGACACATGTACACACACACACACTTAAAAACACACACAGAGAGATAATCTGTAGAAAATTTTACTAGATTATTCCACACGTGCATTAATTCTGTTGGCTGTGTGTGTGTGTGTGTGTGTGTGTGTGTGTGTGTGTGTGTGTGTGTGTGTGTGTGTGTGTGTGTGTGTGTGTGTGTGTGTGTGTGTGTGTGTGTGTGTGTGTGTGTCTCTGTGTGTGCACGTTGTGTTGCGTCATGGCCCAGCATAGTGCAGACTTGTGTTTGATAGCAGTCATATGTAGGGCTGTATGGGCATTTGACAGCCTCGCCTAGCAGGGGTTATGGTGCCCGTGGCATTTAACACCTTGCCATTAATGTGAGAATGTGAGATGGGCAGTTATCATTGAAATAAACACGCTCTCTCTCTCTCTCTCTCTCTCTCTCTCTCTCTCTCTCTCTCTCTCTCACACACACACACACGCACGCACGCACGCACACACACACACACACACACACACACACACACACACACACACACACACACACACAGCACTCTCTCACTCTCACTTTCCTCTTTCTCTCTTTTACATGGGTCATTTACATTGTGAGACGTAACCGTTTTAACTGCACCATTTTACGCCTCAAAATTGGTGTATTGAGCCAACATCAAAATTCTACGGTTTTGCTCCACAGTTGAAAACCTTTTGTCATAGTGCCCTGGCTTATTAAAAAGCCTCAGGGAACGATTGTCAGTGTTGCATTTGAGAAACATTTATCATAAATACATTTGCACTTTTCTGCATCGATGCAATGATAATTCAGGATAGTCCAGTCCGGTTTTTACTACATAATTATTTAAACTGAAGGTCCACGTCTCAGCGCTATTTTTCCAGTTTTTCCTTCATGCTAACAGTGATAGCTTCATGGGAATGAACAGAATTATTTTTTTCCCCCGTTTAACAAAACCACAATAGGCTAAATTAATGTTTAAACAGTTGTTTTTATTAAACGGTAACGATCGGTTGATACTATTTTAAACACACACACATACAGGCTATTATTATTATAATTATTATTATTATTATGGCCCTAATAAAATGATGCTAGTTAACTGATGTCATTTAACATCCCTCTGCTATTTTCCGTAGTAAGCTTATTTATAATATTATAATTGGTTTCAGTTTGTTGTGTTATTTATGGATTTAGCTAACAGCTTCATTTATGACGACCAACACGCTCCTTTCATTTTATTTTAATTTAATTGAAGGATATAACCAGGCAATAGGACGGGTGAGTGTGTGTGTGTGTGTGTGTGTGTGTGTGTGTGTGTGTGTGTGTGTGTGTGTGTGTGTGTGTGTGTGTGTCCTGTTAATCCCACATTACTGAATTAAATGTTTTTGTAATGATTAAATGTGGGCCACACACTGAGTGTTCACATTAGGGTAATTATTACTGTAACCTGCGTGGTGTGTGTGTGTGTGTGTGTGTGTGTGTGTGTGTGTGTGTGTGTGTGTGTGTGTGTGTGAATGAGAGGCGTTATTCCCTGGAGTCCCCAACCTAATCAAGGAATTAACTGGATGTGCAGCAGTGCTATCTGACATGCCTTGTTTCTTTGTCTTTATTTTTTCTAATTCTGCTATGATGCTACCGAGACTTCATTTTGTTTTGGGATGAACCTCCGAAAAATTTCATTTGGCTCCGGTGTGCAAAGGTAATAAAATTTTATGAGAGTCTGAGGTCCCAACATAGACAAAAGAAGTGCTTACACACCCCAGTTTTATTTGATCTAATTATAGCTGTACATCACACACAAAAGCAATTTGCAAGCAGTAGGAGTTGAAGCAAAAAGTAGGATGTTCATTTGTTCAAGCGAGAGTCACGGAGAGTGCACAGCCAGGTAAAGCTGCTCTTATAAACTACTCATTTTGATCCAGATGAACGATATTGAATGTGCCTTTGAGATATGGGCGTGTACGTAGCATCCAGTGTATTGATGGAGGTTATAAAGCTGCATATGATCTCTGCACAAAATTACTGCCCGGATTTGGCCACAGTTGCTCATTGTTGTATTTCTCTTGCTCCGGTAGATGATTTATCAGCGGAAAAGACAACGGGAAGCTGGTTGAAAGCCAAAAGTGGAAGGAAGAAGCGGTGTCCCTACACAAAGCACCAGACGCTGGAGCTGGAGAAGGAGTTCTTGTTCAACATGTATCTGTCTCGGGAGCGCCGCCTGGAGATCAGCCGGAGTATCAACCTGACCGACAGACAGGTCAAGATCTGGTTCCAAAACAGACGCATGAAGCTCAAGAAGCTCAACAGGGAGAGCCGAGAAAGGGAGCACGGTGCAGTTTACAACTACTCCTGAAAATAATATTACCTGAGCATACATTTACACTCACACATACACTCATACACACACACACACACACACACACACACACACACACACACACACACACAGACATGACAGGCACAGATATAGACAGACCATGCATGTGTCATCTTATAATGCATTCAATTATCATTAATCAAATTTCCTCTTTATGTGCACACACACACACACACACACACACACACACACACACACACCGCCGTGCCTTCCTATATGAACTATAAAACGCTGCGACCTGCAGACTAGACTTTCCAGGTGAACACTTGCAGCAGCATTGGAACAGTGAGGTGTTATTACCTTGCGATGATAATTTTAATATAACCTGAACCAAACGAAAGGAGGAACAGTCTATAAATAACTCGTGGCATGTAAGCAGTTTCACTTTGCTGAGCTATAATGACTGTTAAGCCACTTGTGCATCTTCTTCGTTGGTGTCTGTTGCTGGTGGCATATCCGTGCAGTGTAATGTGCATGCACAAGACGATATTAAGCTATGTCATGGCAAACGATTCCAAAACAATCAAAGGAGGGGGAAACGGAAAGGTATTACCAACTTTGTCCTTCCCCTGGTATAGTGGTGCAAATGAGAGGGAGGGAGAGACACTGCGGATGAGAGAAGGAGATTATGGCACTTTTAATAGAAGTGAGAGACCATAACGTTGATTTAAATATTATCCAGGTGACCACAGTAAGTCAAGGTCATAAAATTCTAATGTCAGGTTCGCCCTGGAAAGCGTTGGGGGTGGATTTTATGATCTGCAAATATAATGTGCTGCAGCAGTAAAAGATGCGTTTAAAGGTGTGTGTGGAGGAGGGCTAATCCACACAGCAGAGACTGCAATGTGCAGGATCCAGCCGAGGCGCTGGGCTGGAGGGAGCAGCCGCCTCCACCCGGGGATAATGGGAGCTTCATGCGAGCAGGAGATAAGAAAGATGGTGGATAAAAGGGACAGCGACCGCGACGGCTGCGGGAACAATAATAACAACACGCCTCAAGGCAAACACGTGGATAACTAAACGCACCGGGGAAGGCGTCCGCAGCAGGCAAGAGAAGGTAGGACTTCAATTTTACGTAATATTTTTATTTCCTGTTGTGGAAAGTATGCCACATCTGTCAGTGGAGCTGGGTTGACAGCTCTCGTGGCACGCATGGTGCACGCCTGCACACGTCGATAGTTTATATGAAGCTGTTGATATTAATCAGCCTGCTGCTGATTTCTGCTGAATATTTTGCATTACTGTGATTGATTTTTACTTATTTAAGTTGTCTTATTTGGAACAGCTGAATAAATGTCTGTGCTGCTGCAGTGTTATTTGTGGAATTATAAAAATAGCAATTTGAGACTGTCGCGGTTTTTTATGAGTAAACAAGTTAAGACATGCGTTGCTATAGGCCTGTGTGAGTGTTAACAAAGTAGTTTTAAGGCAGTGTTAAGAAAGTAGTTTGATTGCAGCTTCAGTAGACCATAGTGTGTTTTATTGTGTCGGTACTCGCCTTTTCTCTTTGTGCTGGATAGTGTTAATCCTCACTTGGCTTTTGCATGCATTGTTCTTTCCATGGATTTTAACCCCGTTTGCGCGAAGCTGAAGCGTGGTTTAGGTAGTTTCATGTTGTTGGGGTTGGCTTCCTGGCTCGGCAACAAGAAACTGCCTTGATTACGTCAGTTCGTCTTCATCAAGGGCACAATTTCCGCTGAATTACCCCCTATAGTCACCCAGGTCCCCGCAAATGGCATTGTAAATGAACTGAGCTGCAATACCTTGGACAGAGACGTTTTCTTTCTTTGCTGTTATTTTGTGGTGGGCTGTAAAACCTTCTGAGGCTCTCAGAAGGAGAATAGGTTGTAAACAACATGGGGTAAAGTTTTAGACTGCGTTGTATTGCATCTGTCAGCTGCTTTATGATGATCTGAATAGATAGATGGAGAGATAGACGGATGGAGAGATCTCACATAATTTGACTCATTAATGTATCTGAGGAATGAATCTAGGTCTACAACAGTAAAAGGATGCGTGTTGACATTTCCATGATATTATGTGGGCATGCTAATGCTCGGCTGCTTGAAATGTTTTATTCCAAAATGTGCAATTCCAATTTGTAATTTTGCAGTTGTATACTGGGAAGTATGTGAAAACATATTTGACTCTATAAGATCTGAAATAATTCTTACTTTGAAGGTAAATGTTATCCACAAACTTCCACACATAAGAACATCGACACTACTTTCAACAATCTTAAACTCACATTAGCTAATTGCCTATTAATATTTTTTTTTCACTGAAATTACTGCAAACATAGTTGTTTTGCATTAACTTAATTTTATACATTCATCTTATACATCGATTGTTTCTTAATCTTGTATTACTGCCAAGTTTGAAGTTACATTTCCCGGCCCGTTAACGAGCTGAAGGTATTTGCGTATCTTAGGCCACTATGTAAACATCTTATATTGCTCTAATTTGATTAAGACCCAGTTTTTAAGACCTGGACCTTGTTTACAGATAAGAATACTTTTCTCTTCTTTAGATTCAGCCAACAATAGCCTCACTATTTAATGATATTTGATAGTGAGGCTAATAGAACGGAATTATTTTACTAATTGCTGCACATATGTGCTAATTTATTGATGTCGGAAACTATTACAGCATTGACCATCCTACTATAGACCTAACTTTATTTAAGTTTCGTCATTCATTTATACATTTTATTACTAACATTACTGGTTAATTATAACGATTTTAAATTAAATTAAATCAACAAATTGTGATTCAGCAAAATAAAAGTCTTCAGGAAAGTGATGAGCTTATCTGAAAGAAATACAAACACTTATTTATAGAACAGTCTGTTCTTGTGACGCAGTCAGCATCTTCCCTGCAAGAGTGTCCAGTGTTTATACTGGTCACTATTTCCCCTTGTTTTCTCAGCCCCCCTCCCTTTGGCGGTAGTGCAACTGGAAGAGACAGTCTGGAATCCAAAGTCACTTTCATTCAGCTCAGTGAATGAGTGTCTCCCTTGGAATGCATCACTGACAAAGACTTTACAGCGGTGGAAACAGCCCCGAGAGCTGCACAGATTCACCCTAAAACCATATACACATAAAGCAATTTATTTTACTTTGTAGTGGCGCACAGGAACTGAAGGCTTTAGACAGCCACTTCCTTGGGACAGCTCAAAATGTGTTACTGCCACTGGCATGATCAGACATGAACCAAATATGCTAACGGTTTTTCTTCTTCTTTTGACACACATCAAGTTTTTGTGAAATATTAGCGCCTCGTACTTTATTTGTGATTTTCTTTTTAAAGATAAAGTTAGTGGATGATTACATTCAGAAGAGGAAGGATATTAACTTACTTTCTTTCCCCGGAAGTGTTTTATTATTATTTCAAACAGTGTTGGCGAAATGAAACTCAAAAAGTGGCTTTTTATTTTTATTTTTTAATGTGAATTAATAATTGTGAATGGTTTCTATCCTCTTTGCATGGTTTGGAGCTGGCGATCAACTAAGATGTGTAAACGGAAACAACATTGAGGCTACAGAAATGTCCCATTTTTAAATGCAAGATATATTATCATTATCCCACACCACTCGCCTGTTTTAAAACCTGCTCTGTAGGGCGAGAATGCAAATGTCACTGCGGCAGGCCTAGTCACCATGTGAAAGTCAATATTGATCAGCAATTGGCGTCAGAACTTGTTATGCTGAGTGTTTTGATAAAGGCAAATGCTTTTGAAACAGTCTTAAAGGAGAACTTATAATTAATTGTTTTGATTTTCTGAAACAGTAATATGCGGCGGTCTGTCCTGGATGGAGAACTCTGTACTACAGTTTGGGTAATACGGATCATTTTGTGGCCTTTCAGCTGATCTCATACACAATAACTCTTGCATGTGGGGTGTTTTCTGTTCAGCACATGGGACGTTATATATAACCTGATATCCACTTGGATTTTTCCATCTGCAGAGTTTAAGCACGGATGCTATGGTCCAAATGTTGCCTATAGATAAACCACCAGTTTGGTTAAACTGCACTGTGTGTGAGAGAAAATTAAGTATTATCTGGAGGCTCGTGGGTTGATTTAATCTGCTTATTTGTTGTGACTATTTTTCGGAGAAAATTCCACTTATTTACCGCCATTACTGAAAGAATATTTGATGTGCCTTCACTCTGACATTACACAGAAGCCGGCAAATGTTACCGTTGATGTCTCATAAAAGAAAGTCATGTTACAACGTATAGTTTAAATCGTTCGTTCATTATTCATCCCCCCCAGCAATGACACAGTCTGGATGTGCAAATGGAAATAAAAACAAACAAAGGTTAGACTCCCTTGACAATGAAGATGAATCATCTTTACCTTATCATACACAGGATATTATGTGAGCTTGATAATACGTCTGCCGAGCTCTTTCTTTCTATTTGCTTTACGGTTATAAGGATGCAAGTAAATAGGCATCTGCAGTCTGGTATAATCTACCATTCATAAATATTTACTGTGCTTTTTGCCAGCCTGAAGGTTTAGCTCTTTTGTTTAACCGGCGGACAAATTCATGATCATTCATGATGTTACTTTCTTTGCATTTTTACCCTTAAAATTGCATTAAGGCGAAGCAGACACTTAAACAAAAGTGATCTGTAGGTATAGGTTTAAAAGCGTGGGCCCATAAACAATTGTTTTGGCCAATAATTTCTAATTAACATGAAGCGTCGGTGCACTGCGGCGGCGAGAATACACCCTGTGACTCAGTGTAATGTTTTTGTCTGTTAGCTTTAATCTGAAATGTAACTGCTCAAGGCTGTATAGCCTACATAAAATGCCTTATAACACTGTCCTCTACAATTAAGCTGTGGCCATGTGAATATTAGCCTACAGGCCGATGTTTTGCGTCATGCTGCACAAGTGTAGCTGTCTAATGAGCATTTGTTCATTTTTTATGAATGGAAAACTTAATTGTGTAATTGAGAAATGTCAGCCGGGCTTGTACTGTGGCCAAATGATTGCATCAGTTTAAAGTATTGTCATAACCATCATTGATTAGGGAAGTTGTTATAAATGGCTTCGCATTTTAGGACAAATCCAAATGTTCTCTGAATGTACTCAGATGAAAACACAGAATAGACTCCATATAGTCTTAGATAGTGTAATGATGGAGGGTGTCTATGTTGTACCCGCTGTAACGACTTCAGAAGCAAATTTGTGATTTTGGACTATAATTGACTTAAATATAGACGAACAAAGAGCCCACCAGTTTTTGTATCATTTGTCTCCTTCTAAACTTTTAAGCCTGTACTACTTGCTTTAATTATCAATTTAAGTCTTTATTTTCATATAGACCTATTGTTGATCCATATAGCCTAATGTTGTATCATCTAAACAAAATTGACAAATCTCTACTTTCTCGTTTTGTTTAGCATAGCAATGATGTGTTTCTATGTTAAATGTTAAAAGAGAAGAGCAAACATGAAATACGAAAAGGTTTAGCGGTGCAACAAAGAGCCATTACTTCGGTAGTATAATCTTAAATGGTTTAGTTGCAACTGCAGCTGTGTCAAGTAAAAGACAAATGACAGAAATAAGAAACAACAACAACAAAGCAATATGTAATGATGTCATCTTTATTATTATTATTATTAAAGTACAACAAACATGGTCAAACAAGTGGAATAGATAATAAAAAATAAATCCTCTCTTCTCATTTATGGAATCACATACACATACACACACCCACCCACCCACACACACACACACACACACACACACACACAAACTAGCACACGCACACATGTACACACAACACGCGCACATCCAAAACAGTAAAAAGGATTATTCACTAGATTACCTTTAGACATAGATACAAGCTATATAATGTATTTATATGGCCATATGTTAAGGTAATAAATGCTCATTGAGCACTTTTTCATTCTGCTTTAATGGCAGCAGTAGAATAAACGGACTTAGACCTTTAACCTGTATAAAACACACAACTTTCAAAAGATCTAATTCAAGATCTGGGAAATTTAGCTAATGGCTTTATTTATGTAAACATGTGGGGGAATATTTGACTGGCCACAGACTTGCGCATTCATCAGCACACTCCGGGATGCCGTTTGGCGTTATCCGGGTTAAGGTCTGGCGTCTGGCCTTTTAAATTTCATGGTTGAATCTGAACTCAGCAGCCATGACAAACATCGCACTTCCTAATGCGTATACCGGTTACATTTAGTTTTACGTCATACAGTCCAAACATTGAGTATTATATAATTTAATTCCCACGTGTGGGAATTTATTTAAACCAAAGTTCAGGTCAGTCTAAGCTTATTAGTGACGTCATTTGGCGATGACAAAGGCGAGATTTGTTTTAAAATCTCAACACTTTTACAGTTTTTATGGTGCAGACGCACATTGCACGCATACTTATCACTTGGGATTTATTTTGAAATGTGTCTTTGTAGTCTCTCTGGTTAAACTGTCATTTCGTATTTGGCAATTTATGGAAGACAGTGCACGCAGTTTGGGTTAATTTCAGCAAAAGTGTGGTTTGTTGGGCTGCACTACTATAATTTTACTTTTGCACACAACGACTGTCAAGTCTACACAACCTCATATTTAGCCCCCTAAAGAATTCATTTAAATTAGCCTTTTTTCTTTTTCAAACCACTGCTTCAAAATAAAAGGGGGAAAAAAATAAATTTCAAACATCCAATTACGCACATCATCATACATATCACACAAAACAAATTGCACTACAACGCACCAAAAACAGAAACATGCATACACATACGATTAAAACTCATCCCAATAACACTCCTCAGCCTCACCGTTTTTCAAAATGTACAAATATACTCCTGCACCAAAGTCACCACATGATAGAAAGCTATAGGATTTACTAATGCACCAGATATGTTGTTCTCTACCTCAATCAGTCTGCAAATATGCATTAAACATTCAGTATTTATGACACAATTAGTCTAATTTGTGTTCCCTGTGACATTGCTGACTTCTTCGGTTACTCTTTCTCCATCGTATATTAATATTGCATTATTTTCTGTGTCGCTGCAACCCTGCAGGGGAGTTAGGGGTTGTTTCACAGCCTACTAACTGACAAGCTACATTAGTATATTGCAGGGCAAACTCCTGCCATTAGATACAACAGTAACATTATCCCTGTTATTAAAGCTTGCATCTAGTTAGCCCTTTAACGAACCTTTTTACCTCCTCTGCAGTCTCCTCTTTCCTGTCTTCGGCCTCTCTGTTTGATATGAATTGTTTCACATGCATACATACAGTGGTGGTGGTTTTATGTTGGGCGAGGAACTCGGATGCAGTCTTATTAACGACACGTTTATGAACAATCAAATGGTCCTCGTTAAAATTTATTGATGGGCATAAAATCATGAACGGTCACTAGCCGAATATAGCCCGCTGTAGTGGGCTGCTTGTCAAGAATCCGAATCCCCTCCTCTCCTATCTCCACAGATCCCATTTAGGAAATGTTTGGTTTGTTGCGCCCTCGTTAAAACAGTGCAAACTTTATTGTTGGTGTATCCTGCGTCCCGTATTTTGATCCCCCCCCCCCCCCTCTGTCTAGTCTGTGTGTAGCTACTGAAGGCTTCTCTGTGTGTTGAAATGAAAAGCATTGCACAGGAAGTTATAAACCTTTCACTTTATCAAATGTGCCGTTGGTTTGTTAAAGCTAAAAGGCGTCAACGATCCAATAAACACTTTAATGAAGTAATACTATCCATTGCAATAACACGGGACTACGGTATTCGCCAGACAGAGATTGATTACACCATCAAATAGTGCCTTGCTCGGTTTTAGACGTGCGCAGGTCTGTACTGCGACTAGAGAAAGATCCACCCTGAGCACTACAAATGCATATTTCCTTTATAAAAAAAAACATGGTTGTTGACGTTACCTCTAATACGTCCAAGAAAGAGAGCAAAGGAGCACATTCTTTAATCCCATTTATGTGCATTGGTATCCCAGGATAAGTGGCGCATTGATCCACTGTACAATTTTTGTGGGGGTAAATATAATCACGTGTCGGCGAGGCAGCCAATAGCAGCAAGGGAAGCGTTGAGAAATAATTACCTGCCTTGATTGTTCTATGGCTAGATAAAAAAGTACACATACACTCCATATAATAATCGGATGCATGTAAAAGAGTCGGGGAAGCTTCGACATGTCGACCACGGGTCCCATAAGTAATTATTATGTGGACTCCTTGATCAACCATGAAAACGAGGATGTCCTTGCTGCAACTCGGTTTTCCGCTCCCGGTTCGCACCCAGCCGGCCCTCGTCCGACGTCCCTAGTACCGGAGTGTGCTGACTATCCTTCCTGCAGCTTCGCACCCAAGCCACCCGTCTTCTCCACCTCCTGGGCCCCCGTACACTCCCAGTCATCAGTGGTTTACCATCCATACAGTCACCAACCTCACTTAGGCACAGACTCGAGGTATATGCGGTCATGGCTGGAGCCGATATCAGGCGCCGTGCCTTTCCATGGCTATCCGGGGAACAGCAGGCACTATGGGCTGAAGCCCGACGCCTTTCAGGAGCACAGAGCCGGCGAGTGTCTCGGCTCCAGCGGACGGACCTACACGGATTATCTGTACTGCTCATCCACTGACATCCGAGACAAGACGCAGCAGAATATCCCCTCTCCCGAGTCGGAGATCCTGGCTTCAGGGAAACATAAAGACGAGAAGCCGGAGCTAGATCCTAGTAAGTTCAAGCTCCTACAGTCTTTTACAACCTGGTGGGAGTTTTGCTTTTGGGGATTGTGTAAAACTGCGTTTGCTTAAAGGCATTTTAACGTCCTCCTTAAAATGAAATTATAAGCTGTTTCATCCTCCCTTTTCAGCTAAGCTCTGAATCGCCTCTGCTAGGGGGGAAAGCTTTAGGAACTATAAAAGACAAACGCTACTAGGCTAATATTGGGGCTATAAAACCAGACGGGGTTGTAAACATGGACTCAAACCTACAGGAAGACGTTGAATTTGGAAGGGAGTCGCATAATGTGAAAAACATGCAAGGTGTTCTTTTTAAGTGAAGAACCTAAACCGATATATGGATCAATATTCATCAGTAAATGTCTCATGATGCATTTTTACGACCATGTTTTCAACCCGTGGCTGTGCTTGCGGCACATGAAGCACTATAAGCCGACTTTCAGTCCTACAGTTTTTTTCTTCTTCTTCTTCTTCTTCTTTTTTTTTTTGCTTTAATGTAAGCCCATGTTGGGAGTAAAATCCACATTTTGTGTTCTCTTTTTGATCCCCAGTGACAAAACTATATTATCCACCCACATAATAATGAGAGCATGATATGCATATTGTTACATATGAGAATTTGCACTCCTCTCTGGGTCCAAAACAAATTCACATGACTCTTGCAGCCAACTTGAGGAATGTAGGGACATACTGGAGGACTTTCACCACGGACCTGTAAAGGCTTGAACCACGGGCCATTTTATGGGCCAATAAAGTGAATAAGCGCATTGAGTATTTTACGACGGTGTTACTCACAAGTTAAAGGGACAAGGAAGCAAATCAGTGTAGGGTTGGATAGTCTGAGGCCGAGAATCTTCCCTCAAAATGTTTACTATCAGCATTGCTTTAATGGTAAACACCAAACATGTGTGTGATTTGACATAGCTTTCAATTGTAGTTCTTTCTGATGAGCCCACAGAATTGCTGTGAACCCAGAAGCACATTTTCTAAATGCTTAACACGTATGTAGTAGTCATGTGTCATCGTTTCTGTTTTAAAAATGTCTGTGGTGATCCAATATATTCTGTTATATTCTGTATTCACTATAATTGTGTTTTTTATTTACAGATAACCCAGTGGCAAATTGGATACATGCCCGCTCCACAAGGAAGAAGCGATGCCCTTACACAAAGTACCAGACTCTCGAACTGGAAAAGGAGTTTTTGTTCAATATGTACCTTACTAGAGACCGCCGATTCGAGGTCGCTAGGGTCCTGAATCTGACCGAGAGGCAGGTCAAAATCTGGTTTCAGAACCGACGAATGAAGATGAAGAAAATGAACAAAGAAAAGACCGACAGCAAAGAACAATAAAGTGGACTGCAGTCAGAAAACAACCATAATAACCACTAGTCACATGGACAGCACAGATGTACCAAAACACACAATGAAACCCCCTCTCCTTCTCTTCATATTTATCACTTTGTTGGATTTTGTATTAACCTTAACTTCGAGACTGTTTGATGCTGATTATGTTATTTTCCAGTGCACATTTATGTGTCAAGCGTTAAAGAAAAGAAGAAAAAAAAAATAAACTTTTAAGGAGATAATTACAATCTGCTTTCACTCCGAAATACCTTTATGTTTTTTTGTAAGAGAAATTATTACAAGTGCAGTTTGGACACGTTAAAACTGTACGGAGAAAGAGAATACTTGAATTCTTTTGAATTTCACAAACCCATAATTTATGATGTGAATGTTATTTCTTTCATGTTTATTTCCTTTGTACGTTTTTGTGCAGGTGTAGTATTTTGTACAGAAACCGAAACATCTGCGATCGGACTTGTCTGTCTTGTATTTTTGTGATAGTTGTTGCTGTATTTGACTGTGTTTTTCTTTTTGACTGTAGCCTACGAGTTTAACTATAGAGTGTAGATATAGATCTCTGCAAATATAAACATAATCACTAAGTGCTTGTATTCTGTATTCATTGTGGCTCGGTGTGGATATCGTATTTGCGACCAAACGCATTTAGACTGCAGACAGGGCCTAACAAACAGAATCAGTCAATATCAGCCAAACTAATTTTGTTGATTTAAAAACCGCACGAAAATGGAGTTACCTAATCACAATTGGCAGAGCTGTGTTGCAAACAGATGAGGGCTTTCTAAATAATTATGCCTCCACAATTGTTTGTCTAATATGTTTTGGCCGACGAGCATTCCTCCAAGTACAGCTAAGGCCTAAATGAGCTCTGCCACTGCAAATAATGGCGAGGTCACAAAAATCAACGCTGTCGGCGCAGTTTGCCAAGACAACGTTCGTTTTAATTTAGTTTTGCATTGCTTTCAAATTTGAGCCTTCCTTATGTCTCAGCTGCCTTCATTTGCAGTTATGTATTTAAGGATACCTGCAGACACAATCTAAGAAACACACAAACTGCCTCGTTTGGTCTATAAGGGGAAAGAGAGGACATTTCTGAAAAAGCAATAAGCACCGGTTTTGCAGCTAATATTTAATTCCTCTGTTGTGTTGACTGTTTAATATGGGTGAGCTATAGAAGGATACTCCATTTAAATTGTACACAAAGCATTTTTTTAAAAGAGCAAAAATAAATGCACAATGAATGTGCGATATTTTTTTTGGGTGAGTGTCCTTTATGCAGAAAGTACCCCCCAAAAATATACGTGCAGTTGTCACATTTCCAAGAACCTATTCGTTTGTCCGTATTAACCACCGCTACTATTTATTTATTTTCTAAATGAACTAAAACCTCCTAAATAAACTTATAGATTGCTAGTTTTATACAGGCCCAGAGGCGGTCAGAAAACCTGACACTAAATTTAAACATTTGAGTTTTAAGTGAGAGACGATTTCCCATGTCTCGCGTTTGTTTCCTGGGATAGGCCTAAATTGCCTTTTTGTGGTGGCAAACAATACGGACAGGATGCTGTAATTTAAAAGCTCAATCCCGTGCATTTCCGCTCTGCTCGGACAAAAATGCCAGTTTTACAGCCCCTGTTGGAGCTCGGCTGTTTGTCTCAAATGCAGACGAACAAAGCAAACTCGACTAACTGGCTAGACGTCTGGGCTAAATTACTTTATGGTTTTAATGGACGCTGGTGGTGGACGCGTTCAAAGGAGAGTCATGCGCACCGTTCAGGGGACTTTTGCCTGATGGGCCAGCCGCAACCCCCCCCCGCACTTCATCACATGAGTGGTCTATTAGCCTACAATTAGATCGGGGGGAAAGTCAATAGTTATTGTGCATAAATATGAGTGCTGCAGAACACTGATATCTCTTATATAATAGCAGGTAGAGGCAACGACATAAAATGGCACAGTACAACAACTGGTTCAAGCTTTCGAGGATAAACGGTTATAGATAATGGATGGATGGATGTAAAACAGAGGGGACTGGAGCCATGTAGTTACAGATTTTGTGGTGTAAGGATTCTTTAACTCTGGTTTATTTAAGGAACAGGTCGGGATACATAGGCCTACAAGGTTTTGGGCAAATGGGGAGAACCTTTTCTGTCCACATCACAGTTGTTTCTGATTGGTGGATTCATTCAGGTTGAGGGACACATCTCAACACTAGATGACGCTGTCGGTTCATGTTTTGAGCAGAGTCCGTGTGTTCAATGGGTCTTTTACAGCTCTGTGGCTTGGCTGAAAAATGAAGAGTAACCTATCGATGACAAAATGACAGATATGGTCACCCACCGCATTTTGTGTAATAGGCCACAGAGCAGCACTCCGGTATGCAGCGAGCTGGTTGTTGTGTTGGCCAGAGAATGTGTGCATAAATAGGATTTTTTATTTGATATTTTATTTTATTAGTAGTATTATTTATTTACTTCTGTCTTGTGAGGAATATTGTATTTTAGTTTTTGTCACTTTTTCGGTTTAAAAATCCCCTCAAATGTCCATGAATTTAGGAGTTAATTGTGATTTTTAATTGCAACCCATTGTGTGTGCATTAAAAATAGTATAATTCTGTTCGGACAGACTTTAGTTTTTAACAAAGTCTGCATTTCAATGGGGTAAATGGCCATTATGCGTTTGTATTCTGTGTCTGGATAAAAAAAAAAATGTTTTTATTTTTCATTATGTAAATTAAAAATCATAACTCTTAAAATACTTGGGGAAAATAAAAGAACAACAAATAATTAACAAACAGCCAGAAACAATATTTATATATAAAAATCAGACTTTAATACCAGTTCGTAAACAATTGCATCAGTAAAATCAATACCATAAATAGCAACACTGACAGCAGAAATAACAGCAACAATAACAAAACCTGGCCCAATAATAATCATCACCATCATAATAATTTTATTGACACCGTACACTTGATTAAAAAACAGCTACCTGGTCATTTAAATCCTTAAATATTTGACGTCTGTAGCAGCATTTCAAAGTCCCCAAGAACTGTGCAACAATGATTGGCAATCTGCATATTTATAGAGTGTGAAAGGTCTATAAATTCGCCCAGTGCGCCTTTCATATTTTACGATGATGTGTATAAAACGTCAGTAGCCTCACAAAAACCACACTGGCATATTTGGAGAGGGAGCCCATACAACTATTGAGCTGGGAATTGTGCGCACGCTCATTGTAGCTAAACATCCAATGTAAAATTTTATGAACTCCTCCACGAGGGAGATTTACTGCTTATCCTCGTCGGTTTTACGGGGTCAGTAAGTGGCACCTAGTATTCACAGGTCGTGTTTATATTTGCGTGTGTCGTGTTTTACTGCGCACGGTGCAAGTGTGTTGCCCTGGCCTTTACTCGATTATTACACGATGAGGATGTTTTGTCTTATTTTACCTCTGCGTGTCATAGCTTCATTTTTGTCTTGCTTTTATGTAACATTTTGGTTTTCATGAACTTCTGAAATGCTGTGTTGACCTCCTGGAGCCCATAAAAGGTCAACTATTTTCCAGAAATTAGTGTATAACCTTCAGTAGAGCCTCTTTATACAGAGGAAACCTCCTCTGCTTTATACACCCCATAACCTCCATGCAAAGACAACAAGTTAAACTATAAATTCAGATTACAGTGGAAATGTTCCATGTGTCATAGTCTTTATATTTTAACCGTTCCTTATCTCCACTGATCAGCTTATAACAAAGCTTTTGTGATAAGCATAACATTGATCATATTTAAAGCCTCTTTGGTTGTTGGTTATGATTAGTGCAGCTCCTCTCAAGGTGGATATACGTAGGGCCCATGTCTGACCGGTCGTAGAAAGATGAAGGGGTGGGGGGTGGAGGAGGGTTGGGGGGGGGCGCTTGTGGTGGGGGTGGTTGGGTGGGAAGCTTAAAAAAAAGGAAAAAGAAAGAAAAGAGCAGCGTCTGTGACTGTGCCGGTCGAGCCAGCCCAGCTTTAACCTTAGCTAACGCACATCCAAAGCACATGCCATGAGCCGGGTTTGAGCCTGCAAAAAGCTGGGGGAAAAAACACTCACGACTGCGAGAGAAATCCGATGAGAGGAACGGCTCAGAGAGAGTGAGCTGCCGTAGATTGTCCAAAGGGGCAGCGTTTCTCCTAGTTCCGGTTTGTCTGCCTGTGTGCGCTGTGCGAGTTGGGACCCTAAACAAAAGGCTGCCATCATCCTAAAGGAGATATTCTACAGCGAGAGATTCCGTCTGCTTGATGCTAACTAAACATGAGCTCCTATTTTGTTAACCCTCTTTTTTCTAAGTACAAAGGCGGCGAGTCACTGGAGCCAACTTACTACGACTGCAGGTTTCCACAAAGCGTTGCCCGCAGCCACACGCTGGTTTACGGACCCGGAGCAGCCGCACCGGGCTTTCAGCACCCGTCCCATCATGTGCAGGACTTTTTCCACCACGGGACCACGGGGATCTCCAACCCCGGATACCAGCAAAACCCTTGCGCTTTGGCTTGCCACGGAGACGCAACGAAATTTTATGGATATGAAGCCCTTCCGAGGCAAACGCTTTATGGTACCCAGCAAGACGCAAGCCTAGCGCAATACCCAGACTGTAAATCGTCGAGCAGCTCTAACCCCGGAGAAGGACAAGGCCACTTAAATCAAAACTCCTCTCCCAGTCTTATGTTTCCTTGGATGAGACCCCACGGTCAGAATCATACAATTATTTCCTATTCTTTCTATGTTACTCTGTGTGTGTGCGCGCGCGTGTGTGCGTGTGTGTGTGTGTGCGTCAGCGCGTGTTTCTGTCTGTGTGTATGTGTTTGCGTGCATGTGTGCTAAATATGCTTGAGTATACATGAGTGTGACTCTTAACTATAAAACGAAATAAGTCAGGGAACATGATGGGGCACATACAACCTGTACTGCAGGCTGCTGTAACTCTGCAGCACATGTCCATACAGGGCTGAATTGTTGTTTTCAAAAGTACCTTTTAACACAGAATTGCATATCACATCTAATGACACCAGCTCTTCTGAAGTCAATTATCGTTGACATAAGATATTTCACAATTTCAAGTCTAAACGCACAAAGAGGGGGAAGGATGAGTAAGTCCTAGTTTTTTAAAATATTGTGGTGCCACACACACACACCAGTAGCATGCAGAGTGACAGGAGGGTTAGCTGAAACACAACATGCACCGATTATCCAGAATCGGGGGTTTTAGGGGGTAATTTGACCCACAGGCCCAATGTGGCTCAGACACATACTGCCATAATCATAAGGGCTTTGTGGATATTACCTCTTCCATCCATGGATCATTCTGTTCAGGCTATCAGCCTACATTAACTCCACACAGGTGTAAGCTTCATTTTTATCTGTCATTTATCATTAGCTTGTCCCCATCTGCTGTTACAGTGCAGCTTTATCTCATCTCTCTTTTCTCATACTTTTCCATCTCTGTTTTTCCTACGTGTGTGTCACTAATGTGTGTGTGACTGAAAATCTCCACCAGGCGTGCACAGGCCCTGTTGCTAGTGAGGAAAACCATACTAATTACATGT